CAAAAGCAGTTGATCCTAAGCTTGTAGGCCACCCAGACTTGATAAGTGAGTCCTCGAGGTTGCTGTTAGGCCTGCGGGCACCAATTGAAAAGATGGATGGGGGGGGGGGGGGGGAGAAAAAGTTCAGTATGGTTCTTTATAGCGCTCGCTGTAAGCGCTTTAGGAAACTCGTGATACTGTAGTGTTGATTTCAGAAGGTGCGGCACACTCAGCTGGCTTGCCTCATGGAAGCGGTCAACTCACGGTTGGTGAGGAAGACTAGTGGTAAACTGGCGCCTGAAACAAGCAGAGAGGATAAGTCGCAACATTTTTGTGACTCTCGGAAGTAGAAGAGACCCACGAGTGCACAGAAGACTTCGGCGACAGCGACCCGGCTCTCGGGTCGCCGCTGCCTGCCTCGGGATGTTGTGCTCCACTTGTGGGATGGCATATCAAGACGAGCAGGAGACACCGAACTGTTTGTATCTCAGTACCTAGGTCGCTCAATCTTCCGGGCACCCGGCGATCATGTTCCAGTCCCTTATGCACAGAATAGTTTCACTTCGACAGACAATCAAAAGTATGGATTGCGCAAATCAAATGGCTGTGCTATTTCGGTTGAGGACCGACGGTAGATTTCCTCAAAGCTGGGCTAATGGACTTAATACATGAGTACACCGAGCTTTGTGATTAGAAGTAGAACCCCACGTTTGCAGCAGCAGCTGTGCTTTGTCCTTCCCCAAGCCTTTGTAAATTGCCTCGCATGTACTTCTTCATGCACGATGGAAGAAAGGTTGGAATCATGTCGTGAGAGTTCAAGAGAAATGTGACACACGGTCGTGATTGTGAGTCGGCCTCTAGAGGCGGCCTTGGACTCAGATTCTGGTTATTTATGCTGGAGCAGGGCAAGATAGTTGCTTGTCAAAAGAAATTGAAAATCATGATCCTAATGCATCGACTAAGTTTGAAGGACCTGCCGCAGATGATTTTCTGTCGCCTATGGTGCTGATGATGTTGCTTGCTTACTGGGCACCATCTTCTCTTCAGATACGAGACGTGTGTGGCGGTACTGTCCAGTCTCAGCTTCGCTTAACCACGGGATGGTGATAGGAGGAACGCAGTTTTGAACGAAGTCGATGAGAGGCTTGGATAGAGGAGCCCCGTGGCGTATTCCCACAGACGAAACCCTAGGAATTCCTAGACTTGCACTAAGAGCTGGCGCGCATGGCTTTGAGTACCCAACCAACCTGATCGAGTGGTTGGACGACGAGGACTGTGAGGCGACGGCCACTAATTGTGGATAATGACTGTTGAAAGCCGATGCTTGCCCTGACCGAGCTACGAAGATCAGGGCGTAAGGTAACTTTGTTGCGCCAACCGAGTCGACATTTTGAGAAACGTGTTCTTGCAAATTTCGCGTGATGGCAGACAAGCCAATATCGACAAAAGATGCTATTTCAGGGGCTGGAGGCTTTGGCAAGGAATCTGATATCACCGATGTGCCGGAGTCGCGTTTGCGCTTCGTATCCCGCTTGCCCTTGGATGCCTGTGCAGTTCTGCGATGGTGGCCAAGAGGCGCAAGGAGACTGTGCGAGTGGTCAGTCGGAGTTGCCTCAAAGCAAGCTGCCCAGCTTTGCGATCACCCAGCATGGTGTGCTATGAAGCGTACCTGATGATTAGCTCCAGTATAGCGTCTTGGTCTTGTTCAGATATTGAAGGCCTTCCTCAGATTAGTCACAGGTATGGCGCGGCATGAAGGCTTCTCATCCCTAAGTCAACATACCATTCTACTGAAGAAAAGGACGTGTCAACCGAGTGCACGACTTTCTTACGGAGGGGAGCGACGGTTGGTTTCATGATGTTCTCTTCAAGTTCTTGACCTTGATGTGAACGCGGTGTATGAGTTGGTTTTTTTCATGGCCTTAGAGATACCTGACCGCCTGAATATGGTGGATTTTGTATCAGAAAAACGACCTGGCCTATGAATAACTCACAATAAGACTAAGGCAGTAGAAGCGATAAGCGAGGCGCTAACGCCCCTTCCCCCCTCCCCGGGAGAAGTTGTTAACATGTCAGACTCTCTACCTGATTCCTCGCGATTACGAAAACGGTATTAGCTACGGGGAGCTCCAACGTTGTAAATTCCAACGTGGAACAATGGCATGGCGTACCTCATGGTAGGCACATCACGGGAGCCTCCACGTGCCCCAAGGCCGGAAGCTTGGTATGTGTCTTCCAATAGTGGGGAAGGCAAACAGTGACAGCGGCGCCCCGATGCAACCTCAACCTGTCGGGACCTGGCCGCGAGCCCCTCAATGCCTAGACGAGCACAGGCTACCTCCGGTCTCAGCAACGTCGCAGTCCAAGTGGTCATCATGAGTGTGGAAGGCCCAGTCGGCCTTTCCAAAACATGGTCGAAGGTTCATGATGCAGTGTGTTTACTTCCACCAGTTTGGGGCGTTTATTGCCTTTAGCTCGGGCATTTGGTGTCAAGCCAATATTTAATGCGGGTGGCCGTCGAGCCTGGTGGCTTGTGGAACTCGGAACTGTTGGCTGCGTGGTGGTGATTCGGCATCAGCCGGCCACCTGTCTTTGCTATTCACAAACAAAGCTTGGAGCCCGGAGCCTGGACCAGTTGATCAGCGATCCCATTTCTGAAGTAATTTTTCCAGATGGTCGTACTTACTTGAAAAAAATCTTCGCTGGAAGCATGAGTTTCTGGAGATCTAAATGAAAAAGCTCACTTCAGGCCCCCCTGCCAGCCAGCCCGCCTTACGCATCGCCCACCGCCTGCCTGGGCGCCCAGCTGGTGCTGTGGTCAGTGCATGTGAACCACTGCTCTCCATGCCCAAGGCTTGCCTCCAGGTACACTTTGTCCTGCCTGTCAACCTGCCTGAGGTGCTAACGCATGGATGCCCTTCCCCGCTCGTTACTTCAACATCACGGGCTCCAGCTCTTTCCCCAAATATTCACTTACCTGACTGTGTAGTCACTCAGCTACCTTGGGCACATCCATCGTCTTCAAAGCTGCCTACCTTACCTACGACTTGGCCCTTTTTGACAACTGAAAACAAATATAATATCTGCATTCTTGGACCCCATCCAACTCTGCTCTCGACTGTCCAGGCCTCGCACGCCTTTATCAGGTCACTCACTTCGGTTTGAGCATTTCAACTCCCGAGACACCCACACACCAAACGCCCACGCTTGCCAGGCTGGGGCTCTGCGACCCCAAATCTGATGTAATCAGTTCCTCTTCCCACCTACCTGTCTTACTCGGATCACGCCCCTCCCCGCCTTCATTGCACTCCCATCCACCAGCACATCACGTCACGGCTCAGTGACAGATCCCTATCCACACACAACGGCGAACCATCTCGCAGCCAGGTACCTTTGTGCCCCAACGGTCCAAAAGGTAAGCAAACTCTTAATTTCATAGCTGCCTAGCGCCCCTTCCTTGCGCCGTCTTTTCACACGTACCCTGGCCTTATCTTAGCCTCGTTCGAGCTCATCCCCCCTCACTTCTCGCTACACTCGCTATCTTGCCACCACTTGTCCAGCCAAACCCACCCTAACGAGCAGGCCCCCCCGCAAGAGCTTCAGTGCAGTCGCGCTTGGAAGATTGAATACGCGTCGGGGATACTGCATCACTCATCACCAACCGTGACACGAGGCGGCGACCGACTTTTGGCTCCGTTCCATCGTGTTCGTGCCCGGCTTGCTGGTGAATGCTACCCCGCATACCTGCCTGGAATGCGAAGGGCCAACAGTCGCAGTGCTCATCACAATCTTCTGCTCTGACGACATCCCCCTCCAAGCTCATATCCTATTACATGAATCATCTACAGCCTTGCATGCCCTCACGCACTCCTTCGCCAGACAGCCGTCCAGCACCCTCTAGTGGCACACCACCCTAGTCAATCCCACATGCTAATATTGATCAGTCCTCGTTGACTCGTCTGGCCCGATCGAGCAACGACGTAGGCAACGCTGGCATCTGTGCTGAGCACCTCTTGTGCTTGCCAGATGGATCAACCAACATTATCCTCGGACGCTCCCGACCGCGCTGCCTCGTCTGAGCCCGGCCCTACACGGCCCAACCCCTTCGATGAAGGACCCTTATCATCTCGTAAGCGACGACGCACCTCCCACTCCGGCTCGCCCAGCCTGTCTGCTGAGAGTCCGGCCTCCGATCAACACATGACGAGCTCTGGTACCATCGACCAGGGCGATCATCTGGGACAAGTTGACCACGCTTATGCCATGCGAGTCGATACTGCTTCGGCTGAACCCCGTACCCCCGAACGACAATCATCCGGTGCTGGCCCTCTCAGCGAGCCACCTTCAAGTCGAGTCACGACAATAAATCTACGCAACCAGCCTCACAGTGACATCAGTTCCTCCTCGCCCGTCTCACCTCACCCGGCTCACGACATTCAGCAGCTCGATGACCTTCATGGGCAGCTGGATGGATCAGCTGACGATGCCGAGATCGCGCGCAACCGCATACCGTTACCCGCCGAGGCGGACAACACCTCGACCTCATCAGCCGCCAGCACCGCCAGCTTAGACGCAGAAACGGGTATTGGCGATTTCGCCAACCCCATCTTCAGCTTCCCCTTTCATGATCATGCCGAGCCTCTTCCGGCAGCAGTTTCTCGCCTCGTTCAATATTTCCAGACTGGTAGGAGCTGTCCGCTATTCCGTGCAGACACTTTGTTGACCGATATGACAGCCAGTTCAGGAGAAGAAAGCGTTCTCTCCCAGCTGTGTCGATGGGTTGAGCTGTGCATTAACTTTTTCCGTCGCATTTCTGCACAAGAGACTCTCGGATACTTTCAATCTCAACCTGCATTTTGGTATGCTCTCCCAGAACTATTCTTCAGCATTGCTCTGAAACGGTAAGTGTCCATCGCCAACCATGACTTGACTTGATGCTGAACCAGGATTGAAGGCCACTTTACCCGAGGAACAGCGTCCTGCGGGCGACCGCCAGCCTAGTCATCAACGGCTTTGCACATTTCACCGGGCTCATCACCGCCGTTGACCTAGAATTTCTTACTAGCTGTCGCGCGATGATGCCTCAGCTTGACGAGCACGAACCACCGTGTCCCATCTCGGCATCGCTTGTGTCAGGAGTAAACCGAATCGCTCGCCGAGACCATATGCGGCGACAAAACTCTCAGGTTGCGGACGTTGAAGCACAGCGCGATCTTTTTGACGAGCGCGCTATGCTACTACGTGCTCTTCAGGCCTCCACAGGTGGACGAATAGGTTGCCTCCTCAAGCTCGCCCAGACTGAAGTGGCTCTCATCAAAAAGTTCCCCCAGATGATTGAACACCTCGGGCCAATCTCACAATTGGCCGCCCTTTTGATCTCAGAAGCAGCGCGAGCTCTGCGCAATCCGGCCAACCCGAATATCAATGAGTTTCGCTCTTATCTGACCATTGGTTTTCAATTCTACCAGATTGTGGCAGATGCCCTGTCATATATTATCGAGAAGCATGTCACACAGCTCAACCCTGATTCTGCTTCCGTACTGCTGAACTCTTTGACCGAGATTCTTAAGACAAGCCTTGGTGGGGAGCATCGACAGGCCAAAGACCGCCTCGATCTGCACGCACAAAATCATCCGGAACTGCCTGCCCACTACACCGCCGACGCCATTGCTTGTGAGTGGCGCCTGGATATCATGGCCAGCCTCATACGATCCAGCCAGATGCAACTGCGTGTCATGGCGGTCACTCAGATGGGCTCCGAGTTGGTCCAGCTGTGGAAGCAACATAGCGAGGACCTGATCCCGAACGAGCTCCTGACCCACGTCGCCCAGTACATCCTACACACTGAGCTGGTTGATTACACACTTGGGTCCAGCTGCCACCCCGAGATCACCGGCGAGAGCGGCAATATTGTTGGGTTTCTAGCAGTGACGAAACTCTATTCTAACGAGCAGACTGATCTTCTGTGGAGTACCATGACCAAAACTCAGAACCCTCGGGTTTCAGACGCCCTCCTCCGCATGTCAGAACCGGTCCTCAATCTACTTGATGTGGACAGGTTGGTATATTTGTGCGAGAAGTTCCAGACCTTGCCTATTGATATGTTCACGCCCAATCTGCGAACAATTTGCGAGAGGACTCTGAAGTGCATTGCACACAAGTACCGGCAGGAAGGCGCACAACCCAACTCTCTTCTCCTCAAGTTATGCACTCGCTTGCTTCGCGAGTCATCAGAGCTGGCCGGTCACTCACATTTCGCGCACCCCGAGCTTCATCAGATTGCCATCACGCGGCTCAAAGATCTGATTGTTCTCGGCTTGGATCCACAGACGCGCCAAGAGATCATGACTGACTGCGCTAGGGACATAGCATCGGCTTCTGACACGACCTTAGGCAGTCTATGGTGTGTGGCTACCTTGAATCGTCCAACCGCTACGGATCTAAGAGAGGCTGTGGCGGATTATGACTTGACACGCCTCCTTGTCGAAGAGCTTGAGCATGCGATAGATGCAGGCAGGAAAGCTGGCCTATCAGCTATACTCAGCGGTCCCCAAAACAGCCCGCGGACTGACTTTCTGTACGGGATCATTGTTCACGAACCCTCAAGTCTGACGGATGACCTGGGAGCTCGTCTCTGGGACGCTCTTGTCGGCCCTCGGGCGTATTGCCCTGAAGACAGGGCCACCGCCTGGCGACTTTTCAACGCCATTGTTGCTAATAGCAAGCAAGAGAACCCATATATCACACGATGCTTCGCGGAGATGCTCCATGGACTTCCTCCCCCATGCTTTTCGAACGGCGCCCTGCAGTTTGCGAAGTCTCTTCTTCTGCCATTAGTAGATGAGATGACAGAGGTTCTAGATGACGAGCAAGGTCTTGCACAGAAAGCGATCGAACTCATCTGGCACATGATGCTTCGCGTTGCCGACTCGGACTTGGTTGACTTGATGATCTCGATACTGGTCAAGGATGTCTACATCGGAAGCAAGGCCATCTTGGCTTACCCACACCACAGGGCGCGGGCGGTTCATACACGCATGGTCAACCGTTGTCTGGGCCAACTTGACGGCGCAGCAAGAGCAATTGAGGCTCGTGATTCTGCTGAGGACGCACCGCACGAAGCCAATGACCAGGAGCATGCGCAAGCCCAGGAGCGAATCTTCATACGATCTCTTGCACTGCTGCGTGAGTTCCTGAAGGCGCATCAATCAAAACCCCAATTCGCAGCCCCCGATCTTCGTTCCCTCATGTCGCAAGTGCCATGCACTGTGAAAGGCGAGCTTACCGACCTGCAATACGAGTCCTATGACGGTGGGGCCAAGTCCGACATGTCGCCTCTAGAAATCGGAGCCGACAACACAGTGGCAACGTTACTAGCGCGCGTACGAGAAGTCACGGGATTTGACAACTACCGTGTGTATCATCACGGCAGGATTTTTGCTCCTGATGAGGATGAGATTTCTCGCTCGCTCAAAGATATCGGCATGACAACGGGCCTGCTGTTGGTAAAGAGAGAGGTAGGAGGGGTAGCTCCTGCGACAAGAGCAAACCCTGGCGCCTCATTCCTTGAGATTGAGATCCTCAGTCATTTTGGGCAGCTTTGGAACTACCTCGACCTGCAGGAACCGCTCGCCAGCGAGGTATGGTCTTTCGAGAAGTGGCGTCAGAGCAAAGTGCTAACAATGCTGTAGATTTTCCATTTCCTCGTCAACCTCCCCGTCGATGCTAAAATCTTGAAAGCCATCGATTCAACTGCAACCACTCATCGTGACGTATTTCCGAAAGGACAGTGTCACAAGTCCATATATGCGGTCTACGCTCTGAAGGAATATCTCAAATCGGCGCGTCGCAAACAGGCCGCTGCTGTCAGTGCAGGGCGTGACGACGATCCCGACGAAGACGTCCTTGCCAAGGCCTTGACCCGGTCTCAAGCACTCGTAGTGGCCGCTCTTTCAGATCGCGAGGCTCTGGACGACTGCTCCTCCTCCCACAAATTATTTCTTTGCCAAGAGTTGATAGGCCTCTACCTTCACATCCTGCAGGGTAAGTTGGGCCGCCACGACGAGAAATGGGTCCTAGCTGACCGCAGGACAGAGTCGTACTTGATGCTACCGCTGGCGACGTCAATGACAACCGCACCCGTAGCGTGTCTTGTTGACATTCTGGTCTTTGCTGTGGATTCGTCACGCAATGAGGCTACGGTTGACTTGATCACGAAGACTTTCTCCTCGATCCTTCTGTCATCGTCTATTGATGTCGAATTCTGGATATCCCTTCAGCAGTACCACGGCATTGCTGCCCTGATTAAAAGACTCGTCTTGCAGGAGCCATCGCCTTACGTTCGTATGGAGATTGTCAAAGCAATAAATATGAGGAGCACAGATTTTGAGAGGTATGAACAGTCCATCCAGGGGACATTTCTGAACTAACACCGTACTGTGTAGAGCCGCTGTGACATCCACCACATTCTGCGAATTCCTCTGGCCTGTTTTGAACAGCCTGGTGCCCCGAGCCATGGATCTACCGCAGAGTTGTAACGAATTTTTCATCTTGACGCAGTTGATTCTCAAAAAGCTCCTGGCCCTACAATCGACAGTCGTGCGTGCAAATGAGCTTGTTCATGATTGCATCATAGCCTTGACAGGGCATGAAACGTCTGAGGTATGTAGGAACGTGAGCTTTTCCAAGCCTTCACACTGACTGGTCCATGATCCAGCAATTGGGAAAGCCCTTCATTGAGGACCGATTAGCCAGCGGGCTGCTCAGGCTTCTTCGCTGTTGTCTCAAGGACGAACAGATACTCGAAAGCTGTTCGTTCGCGCCGTAAGACAACCTTGCATGAGGATCAGAAGCTTCATACTAACAATGGCAGCGGCTTGATTAATGAGTTGTTCTGGAGACATCTCTTTCCCCCCTCCGCGCCGGCGGACGATGCAGCCTACACCTCGATCACTTCTATCCACATCATCCCGCGAAATGTTGTGCGAGACACTTCTCGATATCGCGAAAGGAAATCAGCAGCACAGCACTGATCTTTTGAGGCAACTAGGAAAACTAGTGATCTTCGACACTCGACCTGGCGGTATGCTTTCCCACTTCCCGTTTACAGCCAAGGTACTGATTTGTTGTGTATTCAAGCCGAACCCTATCAATATGAGCTGCCCATGAATTTCGACCGGGACCAGGCCGTACGAGCAGAGTGTGGGTACGCAGGGTTGCGAAATCTCTCCAACACCTGCTACCTCAACTCTTTGTTCACCCAACTATTCATGAACACGAACTTTCGTCGCTTCATGATGGAGGCCCCCACTGCAGGATCTAATCAGGAGCTGTTGGAGGAGACGCAAATCACATTTGCCCATATGCAGGAAACCAGTCAACGATACGTCGACACTAGTCAAATGGTGAGCTGGATAAAGACCTACGACGACACCATGATCGATATCCATAACCAGATGGATGTTGACGAGTTCTACAACCTGCTGTTCGACCGATGGGAGTCGCAAATGGCGTCCGCAGGCAAAAGAAACGCCTTCCGTGCATTCTATGGTGGTCAACTCGTTCAGCAGGTTCGATCGAAGGAGTGCGATCACATTTCGGAACGTCTCGAACCTTTTTCTGCCATCCAGTGCGACATTAAAGGCAAAACGACCCTTCTTGATAGTCTTCGGGATTACGTTGATGGGGAGATCATGGAAGGAGGTAAACACGCTTGGATCCTTCAGCGATATCCCCAACAAGGCTAATTTTCATCAGAAAACAAGTACAAATGCTCGACTTGCGACCGCCACGTCGATGCTGTAAAAAGGTGTGCACCGACTTTCCTATATTATGTGGATCTACCCAACTAACAAGCCTGACAGAGCTTGTCTTAAAGACATTCCCGACAATCTTATCTTTCACCTCAAACGTTTCGATTTCAACTTACGCACTCTCACGAGAAGTAAGATCAATGACTACTTCTCCTTCCCGAACAGAATCGATATGCGGCCCTACACTGTCGAATATCTGAATCAAGAGTCTCCGACGAGCGAGGAAGATGTGTTTGAGCTCGTTGGCGTTCTCGTTCACTCCGGAACCGCGGAATCTGGCCACTATTACTCCTATATTCGTGAACGGCCGTCGACTGCGGATCAGGAGACCTGGCTCGAGTTCAATGACGAGGCTGTATCGACTTGGGACGCTGCACAGCTTGAGGCGGCTACCTTCGGAGGTCCCGACACGAATCAGGTCAACGATGCCAACAGCGTTGCCTACGACAGATCTTACAGCGCCTACATGCTGTTCTACCAACGCTCTTCTGTCCTGAGGGCATCGCGGCAAGAGATGCAAGCTCAAGGCTTAGTGCCACCCCTACATGTTGACATCATTCCGGACCTGCATGAAGTCATCAAGAACAACAATACGGTGTTTCTTCGAAGACATTGTCTGTTCGATCGCAATCACGCCGTCTTTGCTCTTCAATTTTTTGACTTTATGATGTCTTTCAATAACGGCCAGTGCTCTCTCGAGCATCCAACAGAGCGGAGCGTCATGGCCTATGCTTCTCGGACACCTTAGTCCAAAGTCGTTGGACGGAGCAAGACGAGCGTCTCTTTCCAGAGGATACCAAGACCAGCTTGCAGACACGGTTCCGGAACTGTTCACAAATGCGCAGAAGCGTTCCTCGACTATTTTATCGGGCCGTCCGGAGGCATTTCGACAATTGGTGCAACGGGACCCCGAGCCATCTTACCGTCTCGCAACAGGCGACATGTTGATCATTGCGCTTGAAGAAATTCGAGAACACGACCCTACCTATTATGGTCCGGAGGCGGCGCCGGCCGACGACGAAATCCTCGTTCAAACCTCGGCAATCGACGGTGCGTTGATTCTGTTTCGAAAAGTCTTTGAGAATTTTCATTGCAACCTGCGTTCGTGGAACGAGTGCTTCCACTTGATCTTGAGATTTGCTGAGCTGGGCGAAGCCGAAACAGCTGCTCTACTTCACGACGATTGGTTGAAGGACCTCATGTTCGTCATCGCAGCTGACACCAACTATCCTGGCCTGCCGGAGCACTATGTCATGTTGGTTCGTGGCCTGTCTCGCAGGATGTCTAACAAGCCTCCGTCATACGATGTGATTATCCAGCTCATCAACCATCTGATGAAAGCCCTCGAGCCACTCGTGCAAGACGATATGGTCGAGGAAGCAAACGAACGTCTCGCTCTTTATCTAGAGGACCCGTCGCAGCCGCTTCCTTGGACTTCCGAAGAGGTTAATGTACTTTTCGCTGAAGACAGGGACTACGGCGGCAGCTTCTTTGTGCGGCGACTTCTCGAGATCGATCAAGAGCGACAAGAGACTTGCGCCCTCCATAGACGTCTGGCCAAGGGCGACGAACACATGCAGGTGGG